GTGCCAGACTTATTTTGAAAACATTTTAAAATGCTTATTTCAGACCCGCATCTGAGACTACCTGAGACCGCGCAGTGCGCTGTGGGGGGGTACGGTGCGTGGCTCTGCGGCTTCTGAATAAATGAAAATGATTTAACACAGTTGTTTATACTTTTAGCAGCTCTTTTTATCCCGCAGCTGACCTGCTAAAAATGACAGATTTTTTTTCTTGATCTCTGACAGACGGACTTCTAAACTCCGTCTAAACTTCTAAAGACTTCAATCTCTGAACTCGTAAAGTTCTTATTTTTTCAGTTTTCACTGTCATTTTTCATGAATGAACACTTCCTTGTATCTGAGGCAGGAAACATAGCCTTATATGGTGTTTTTGGGGTGGTAATTATGCTAATCTCCTCTCGCGTGCACGAGCAGCTGGATAGAACAGGTGTAATTTACGCAGCTCATTTACGCACTTTTCCTGAAGATAGAAGACTTTGTTGAATCTGACGTGACATGTTCGTACGAACCCTTTGTACGAACAAAAGTAGGAGAAATTTAGGATAAGAATACGAACATGTACCGCGGGCGGGCCCATTGTTCTCTATAGATATGGGAGGAGGAGGAAGTATTGATTCAAAGTTCTTGTGTGGAACTCTTTTCTTACGTTCCTGCTACACAGTGTAAGGACTTTAGAACTGGGGTGATGTGGTTTATTCTGGTTTTCATCAAAACAAGCTGCAGCGTTCTGGATCAGCTGCAGCTCTCTGATGGATGTTTAGGCAGACCTGTGAAGACAGTAATCAGTGCGACTTAAGATGAACACATGGATGAGTTTCTCTAGATCTTATGGAGACATTAGTCCTTTAATTCTGGAAATGTAGAAGGTGACTTTGTGACTGTCTTTATGTGGCTCTGAAGGTTCAGGTCAGAGTCCATCCTTACACCTAGATTTCAGACCTGACTGCTTGTTTGTAGCTGCAGCACCTGAAGCTGTGTGTTGGCTATAGAAAACTTCAGTTTTGTTTCTGTTCAGCTGGAGAAAGTTTTGGCCCATCCACACATTTGTTTAAACTTTTCTTTGCAGCTGATAAATCCTAAAATCCAAGTTTTCTTTTTTAAGCTTCCTCATTAGAAGAATCTAAAAACAGGATTAAGAGCGAATATTAATGTGTTGTTGTTATTTAAAAAACAAAGCATCTTTGAAACACATCAGGATCTAGGGATCATAAAGTAGCTTAAAAACACTCATCTGAAAATGAGAAGAGAAAGATGTGATACTTCAGACTACTGAGAACAGATCTGTTTTTTTTTTCTTTTCTTTTTTGTATTTCCCCCATCAACAAAATATCTTATTTGTAATGACAATTCCAGGGGCGTTTTTAGGCTCTTGAAACATCAGGGGCTTTAGCCCAGACCTCTTTTTCTTCCTCGTCCCTCTTTAAAAAGTGCTCTTTCACATCTGTATTTGTCCATTTTTAAAACCATTGTTATGTTGTTTGATTATATTAGTTACTGGATAAAATTTATTTATATATAAAATGTGTAGGATATAACATCATGTGCTGTTACAGCTGATTTCTGTCAGCAGTAAGGAGCAGTTATAAAAACTACATGTTGCTGATATTTCATTTTTAATGTCAACTAAACATGCTCTCACATTATTTGCTTATTTTATATAACAAGAGAATATTTCAAATTTTAACCCAGGCTCCTCTGTTTGTTTGCTTCTAACAGACATATGAACAGCTCTTACAGAATAGTTGTGTTCTGGTACATGCAGACATTAGTACCACAGAGGAAAGTATCTTATTTGATGAGGCTGATTGCAGCCAGAATCATCTGTTGTATCAGTAACAGCTTCAACGCCTCAACTAAAGTCAACTAAACATCAGATCGTTCATGGTGACAAAACAGTAAAACTTTTTAAAAAACAAGATTGTACATATGTATTTAACAAGTTGTATAGAAATGATTTGTAGTGATAACAGTAAGCTTCACCTAGGAGCACCAGCAGAACAAAGAGGCTAGGAGGGTTCAGATGCTGAGACTCCAGAAATATCTGAAAAAATATACTTAAAACTCTACATTTTTCAGCCAATTGAAGTGCATTTTAAGAGATAGCCACCCCTTTACAAAAACATAAAACCTTTACAGTATGATATGGTACTTACTGTAAATAAGACCTCTTCATAGATCTGCCCAAGGAATTTGACACGTTTGATCATGAGATTTAGTGTTAAAGGCTTTTGGACGTTAGGGTTTACTGAACAGGCTGTGGGTTGGTTTCTAAATTATGTGACTGGCTGCAAACAGTGTCAATCATCAAGTTACTGTATATGGGTATTTCTAGGGGTTTCACAAGGGTCAATTTTAGGACCTATACTGTTTACCGTCTACAGTTTATCAGCTAAAAAGTATTTTGGATCTTGTTTTGAGACTGATACACTAAACAAGATCAGAATACGTTGGATTATTAATCTTGTTAGCCTGAAAGTTTTTTCTTTATTTCAAGACGTCTTACCAAGTGCAACTGTCAAACTGTCACATTTTTATTTATAAAAATATATATGACTTTTTATTAATCTGAGAAAATTCAGACTATAATTTGGTATTTTTTAAACTTATTTTTGTCAATTATTTGCAGTGTCTGATCAGAAATAAGTGTTTCAATAAATG